TATTCCACTTGCGCTTGATGGATATGAGATGATTGTAGCCAACTCATATCTAACGCGCACTCGTGCAATTATTGTTAAATATTTGTTCGTTCATTAGTTGTGTTTGTTATTTTGCACAGCCTTAGGGAGGCTTTTAATGGACTAAGTTTACAGGATGTTTGTAGGTCGCCGGAAAGGATAAAACGTTGACTACGTTTTTTTTCTTTAATGTCAGTCTATACTGTACAGTCAGAGTCCACAATATAATGGTAGGAACTGTAAAACCATGTCGAAATTGAAGAGATCAATCGACAACTGATCTCTCGAAGCGCTTTTTACTGTTATCATGACTGTTTTTGCACGGAGAAACTTCAAATCATATACAGCATTCATATATTGTGTACACGACGAAAAATGACAAAGCACTCAATATTCAGTCTTGCCGGCGATTCTGTATGCAAATCATTTGACGATTCACCATACCTATGATTCCTACGAATTTCAGAACTAAATCGTAAACTTTGAAAACAATTTGCCTAATACATTTTAAAATAATTAGGCGACGGCGACAATTTACCTTTACGTTGTTTATTTTACGTTTTGCGTGAAATAGCGTGAATATTTCATCTCTACGCGACCAATATAATCTTAATTATGGTTAATTGTTTTCGGAAGGCCCGAAATTCATTTTTTAAAAATAATCGCTCTATCTAAAGAGTCCTTTTATGGTTGGTTAATTTACGCAACGAGGGAACCTTTGCTCTGCTATAATTATAAATGGATGTATAATTTACAGCATGATTGAAAGTATTTTACTCAAAACTAAACCGCGTGAGGAAAACGGGTTTTAAAATATTAATTGATATTCATGTCTGTAGTTTGTAGTGTCGTGAAAAATGATGGATTTGTGATGCAATAAACTATGAATATACTCAGTATTTTCAAACTTTACCTTAAAGTCAGCTAACCATAACATAGAATGAGGCTTTTGAAACATTATGGCACGTGCAGAAATTGTAAAAAAGGCAATTTCGTTAATTTCAAATTAAGGCCGGGCACGCAAGAACGAACTCACGTTCCATTGAGGAAGTAACTGATGCGAAGCTTACCACAACAGTACTTTTGAAAAAGGGACTGTCAAAAATACATAAGCCGCCATTCAAAGACTTTTCACAAGAGTTTCAGGATGACGTAAAGTAAATTTGGTTTCATAAATCTCTCTCACACTCAATAAAGGGAAAGGTGTTTTGAAAGACGCCTTAGCCTGAAAATGTTAAAAATAACTGAAAAACGTAGAAGTAAAGAGATACTTTACTTACCAAACACTATTAACTGTACTTGGTCCGTAAGACTTGGCTCAGGAAGGTTATTTTTGGAGAGCGATACCACGATAGAATATATGAACTCTCCGTCGTTGGTCACGGGATTTCTCAAAATCAGTGTAGCTGGAATGCTTGCACTGTAGTTTGAAATAAATTTCGGAAAAACATTAAACGCTCCTCCTTCTTTGTTGGTTGCAATATCTTCTGATGGATCAGCATCATCTCTTCGCCTTTGAAATGTGACTCTATCAATGAATTCGGATGGCTCCGTAACGAAAGTCCAGACGAGTTTCAGACTCTCCCCAGTGTTGTTTACTCCTTCAACCAGAATTGTTGGTTTGTCAGGCTGTTTGTCCCATCTTATTGCCTCTAAGATAACCCAAGGAGAAACAATGCATCATTTAGGTATTATTTGGTCGGCAATGACTGTAACAAAATGGACATGTATAGAATTTGCTCACTAGAGACCTTTAGCATCAGGTTTTTCTTGTCACGTGACCACGGTCTTGCGGTCGCGTTTGCAGTTTGCAGTTCACGTTAGACNCTAATACATTTTAAAATAATTAGGCGACGGCGACAATTTACTTTACGTTGCTTATTTTACGTTTTGCGTGAAATAGCGTGAATATTTCATCTCTACGCGATCAATATAATCTTAATTATCGTTAATCGTTTTCGCAAGGCCCGAAATTTCTTTTTTAAAAATAATCGCTCTACCTAAAGAGTCCTTTTATGGTTGGTTAATTTACGCAACGAAGGAACCTTTGCTCTGCTATAATTATAACTGGATGTATAATTTACAACATGATTGAAAGTATTTTACTCAAAACTAAACCGCCCGAGGAAAACGAGTTTTAAAATATTAATTGATATTTATGTCTGTAGTTTGTAGTGTCGTGAAAAATGATGGATTTGTGATGCAATAAACTATGAATATACTCAGTATTTTCAAACCATAACATAGAATGAGGCTTTTGAAACATTATGGCACGTGCAGAAATTGTAAAAAAGGCAATTTCGTTAATTTCAAATTAAAGCCGGGCACGCATGAACGAACTCACGTTCCATTGAGGAAGTAACTGATGCGAAGCTTACCACAACAGTACTTTTGAAAAAGGGACTGTCAAAAATACGTAAGCCGCCATTCAAAGACTTTTCACAAGAGTTTCAGGATGACGTAAAGTAAATTTGGTTTCATAAATCTCTCTCACACTCAATAAAGGGAAATGTGTTTTGAAAGACGCCTTAGCCTGAAAATGTTAAAAATAACTGAAAAACGTAGAAGTAAAGAGATACTTTACTTACCAAACACTATTAACTGTACTTGGTCCGTAAGACTTGGCACAGGAAGGTTATTTTTGGAGAGCGATACCACCA